TACATATACATACATACATATATACGTTTGCGTGTATATGTCTATACGTCTACGTAAAAGGTACAAGTGCTCAAATTCAGTTACACTGTTCATGGCCTTATAAGGCTTCGAAACAAGGTCGGTCGGTAAATTGGGTTGATAGAGATCTAAATATCCAACCGCATTATCCCCTTAGTCGCTGTATACCTATACTGTAATATGTCCCCAACCCCTGTTCTAAGAGCAAAAGCCCCCAGACCGAGCTGCTAAGGTACTGAAAGGAAGAGGCGCTCCAGAAGCAGGCTACGAATACGTTCACCCCGCTTGAAGCCTCACCACACACTGGACCAAAGCCTCACCTAACCCATAAACCCCAAAACCCTCAAACCCTAAACCGCCAAACCCGAAACCCGTAAACCCAACGCCGTTAAATCCTGAACCCCCAAACCCAAAACCCTTAAAGCCAAAACCCCTAAAACCTAAACTGACCCCCAAAACCCTCCCGCTTGTCCTGGGACTTCTCGTGTACGTATTTCAGCTTGTGGGCTTGCGGTTCAAGGTTTAGGGCTTTACGGTTTAGGGTTTAGGGTCTAGGGCTTCAAGGTTTAGGCTTTAGGGTTCCGTTAAGGGTTCCTTCGAGGCTTTGAAGGCTGCGTTTATCTTTGGGTTTAGGGGGATTTTGAGCTCATGGCCCTTTGCACTTAAGTGTAGCAGCACGTACCGAAAATCCCCCACAGAAGATGCTAAACCCCAAACCCTAAACTCTAAACCCCTAAACAAGCGCTAAAGTCCATCATAGAAAGCCCCTCGGCCCTGAATCCTAAACCGCTCCTCGCGGCGAAGCCCCGAGCTTCTTCCCCAGCGAACCCAAAACCCCTTGAGGTAAGGAATATACCTTAAATCATAATATTAAGGCTCCTATAACTTTAAGGATCCTTAGTTTATAGGATCCTTAAATTAAGGAATCTTAAGGATCCTATAATTTAAGGCATATCTCCTTAATTAAGGGGGCATTTCGTGCTTCTTCTGTCCCAGGCGCATAGTTCGTGCAGTGGACCCCCATCTTCCAAAGATGAGGCGCCGTGGATTTGTAGATGGCCCAGTTGCTCTGTTCCTGGGCTTTGAGATAACCAGGCAAAAATAAAAAGTACAAGAAATCACTTCAGAATGGCTCCTTTAAGCATCGGGTCGCAAAAAAAAGTATACCCTAAAGCCTAAACCATTACACCCTAAACCCTAAACCCCAAACTCAAGACCCTAAACCCTGAAAACCCTAAACCATTAAAAGCACGCTAGACCAGAAGCAGGGTTCCGTCTTCTCGTTACAGTCGTCCCTGGCGCAGCCACAGTCCTGCTCTTCCCGGAACCCCGGGTTTCGGGCTTAGGGCTTAGAGTTTAGGGTTTAGGGTTTAGAGTTTAGCTTTTAGGGTTTAGGGCTTGGAGTTTCGGCTTTAGGGCTTGAAGTTTAAAGGTTAGGGCTTAGGGTTTAGGGCTTAGGGTTTAGAGTTTAGAGTTTAGGCCTGAGGCTCAAAAGCCCTTGATTAGGGGATTTGGAGGTTCACCGTCACGAGGGTGTAAGGCTTTCGGCCTTGTTGAGTTTACCATAATCGGGTTGTGTGGAAACTGCCATGCTTCCCCTGCGCTGGTAGCTGAAATCATGCTCCTGAGCAAGAAGCCAGCTGCAACCCAAACCCTGATTTCAAATCCGCAGCAGCCCTTGAAAATGAACTCTGGAATCCGCATATAAAGCCCATTGCAAAAACCTAGATAACACATGGGACCCACTGTTAGGGAATCTCGAGCAAACCCTGGAAAACCCTTCGAAACCCTAAACTTGGCCCCAAACCCTCCCTCAAAACCCTGCACCCCCGGCTCCTCGTTGGTGGCATACTGGAAGAAGCTGCCGGAGCAGCCTGAGAGCCCAGAACAACGAAAAAAAAGGGCAGTTTGGGGTTTTAGGGGTTTGGGGATTTAAGGGTTTGGAGTTTTAGGGCTTAGTTTAGGGATTTAGGGGTTTGGGGTTTTAGGGTGCAGGGGTGTTAGGGAGTTAGGGGTTTTGGGGTTTAGGAATTTAGGGGTATGGGGTTTTAGGGGTTTGGGGATTTAGGGGTGTGGGGTTGGATGCTTCTCGCCAGCAAAGAGTGACCACAAGAGCACACAACACTTGCATGGGTTTCCCTAAACCCTAAACCCTGAACCCAAAACCCTAAGCCCTAAATTCTAAACCCTAAACCCTAAATAAACCCTGAACCCTAAACCCTAAACCCAAAACCCTAAACCTTAAACCCTGAACCACCCTATATCTTCCTGGTCCCCTGGGGGTGGCCTTCGGGCTGCATGCCGACCTGCACCGAAAAACGGCCCAAGCCCAAAGCCCCTTTAAAGACGAGGGTTTAAGGCTTAGGGTTTAGGCCTTAGGGTTTAGGGTTTAGGGTTTAGGGTTTATGTTTCGGGTTTAGGGTTTAGGGTTAAACAGTGAAGACGAAGACTAACACACATCAAACAGATTTTATAAAAGGTTGGGTACTCAACAAGCAGCTGGCACCAAAGACCTTGATAGCCCCAATGCAGCTCTACCATTGCTTATAGACACCAAAACCCTAAGCGCCACGCCCCAAACCCAGTTCCACCTCTACCGACTATGACTGCGAAGACAACAAAAAACATGAAACTTTGCAGAAAAAACGCAGCTGTTACTTCAAAAACCTAAAGAACACCGGGAACCAAAAAAACAAGAACCGCAAAAAGAAAGCACCAAAACACACAGACCCTATGATATAAAGACCTATAACTTGAAGCAAAAAAAGCCGTGGAGCCTGCGTCGACCCCGGCGCCCACCGCAAGCTGCCGACACTCCTCGAGGCTGCCACTTCCCGGCCAGAGCCCTGGCGATTTTGGGTGTACCACTACTACTACTACTACTACTACTACTACTACTACTGCTACGACGACGACGACTAGCTGCATGAAGATCAAGAGGATCTAGACCGAAAGCCGAAACTCTAAACCCTAGACGCTAAACCGTAAACTCTAAACCCTAAACACCAAACTCTAAACTCTGAACTCTAAACCCCGAAACCCTACACTCTAAACCCTAAACCCTAAACTCTGAACCCTAAACCCTAAACTCTAAAACCTTAAACCCTCTCTTCCACCCCCAGTAACGACGAATGAATCGGACATGCCAGGTCGCCGGCGACCCGTAAGTTCAAGTACCTCGGCTCTTGTTCGAAGCTCTTTTGGGGATGGGTTTAGGTTTAGGGTTTAGGGTTTAGGTGTATAACAGGCTTATAGGGATGCATAGTGAAGACTATGAATTCCGTATTATAGTACGTCGAAACTGGATTCTTGAACAAGGACCCAGCTACGAGGAGCAGTGGTGGCCATCTTGCACCAATGAATAGACAGGAGATGGCATAGGCATCAGGGGAGTCGCAGTTGCACCTTTGTCCACCTGACACACTGATTAAGGCCCCCCCGCGAACCCCACAGGCTATGGGCTTCAGTCTTTAGATTTCTGGGGTCAATTTTACAAGGTGTGGGCATCTGGGTATGCTTGCCGTCTTGGGGTTCTTGCTTTTTTTTTCAAAGTTGTCCACTCTTGCATGAACTTGAGACCGTAAACCCTAAGCTCAAACGCAAGGGCTTCTGAAGCTGAGTTCGAGGGTGCCTTACGGGTTTGGGGTTTAGTTGTGAAAGCAGAAAAAGAGGGTGGCACGCGACCTTACGAACATCCCCGTGGCCTGTGTTCCTTCTTCGTAGTGCTGTGGCTCTCCGAAAACACACACATGCAGGCGTAGGTTTGCGGTTCAGGGCTCAGGATGTAAGCTGGACATGGGTTGGGGTTCCGGACCGAAGCTTTAGGTTCTAGTGCAGACTTCTGGAAATACCAACCCATACCAAGAAGCTCAAGCCACCGAATTCTCAAACCCCCAACCCCATAAACCCATCCATAACAGTTAGGATGATAATCATGGTGATGGTGATGGTGTTGGTGGGGATGGTGATGGCGATGGTGATGACGATGAAGATGAAGATCATGGTGATAATGACGATGATGATGATGATGATGACGATGACGATGATGATCATGAGGATGAATATGACTATGACAACAGCGACGACAGTCATGGTAACAGTATCGTTGATGATGATATTAGCGACGGTCGTATTGCGGACAGTAAAGATGCTTCGGTTGTCTGAGTCGGAATACTCAAACATTCATGATCTTCGTGACCAATGCGTGCAGCTATGACCGGATCCGTGACTTACCGGACTCGTGAGCAGGACATCAAAACGGCACACCTGTTTCAAGGTTTTTTCAGGGTTCAGGCCTTCCTTGTGGAGCTTGGCTTGTCTCTAAACCTGCCCGGCAAAACTACGACGGGAAACACAAAGCAGAAAAAATATCGGCCCAGCTACCACATAGATGGTCCAGAGGTCATTGGAAGTTTGATCGTCGCAGGTATCTGTGGCACAGCCACAGTCTCCGTTGGTCGCCCTGTAGTGGAAGTAGTCGGACTTGCAGCCATACTCCGTGCCTGCGAACTCAACTTGCTCGAAAAGGCTTACGACCTGTTGCCACTGCTGCTTGCAATGTATGCCTTACCAGCCTCGCTGTCATGCTCCTGACTAAGCGGTCTATAAACATTAAAAGATGTGTATATACATATAGATATCTATATATATATATGTATATATATATATATGTATATATATATACAAACATATACGTATACGCACACACGTACATGCGTAGATACATAGAAACATAAATGCATAGATACATAGGTACATAGACACATGATACATACGCGCGTAGACACGTAGACACATGCATACATACATGCCTACATACATACACACACTGACGCTACACTACACACACACACACGCACACACAAGCACATGCACTCATGCGCACACACACACACATATGCCTTTAAACGTTACAAAGCAATCACTGCTACAAAACACCGTGAGATTTAAAGCCACTTTGGCTGCTATGACTTCAGCTACTGTTTACTATGGTTGACATTTATCATATCATCAACCTTTGCATTGACACCCATCCTTATGCTGACGGAAGAAGCACTGTTCTCATCGCCATCGTTTCTGATCTCGCCCTGATGCTTTCAGCTTAAGCTGCCTCAAAGATCAAGGGGCATGGAAAGGGTAAGCAGGTTTACAGTAACGATCTAAGGTACTTCAATCTCTACCTACAATCTACCCACTCAGTCCTTTCATGCGTTGACTGCACACTCAAACGAAAGGTTTATGGAACACCGCAAAAACCACCCTTCGAAGACGACACAACCTCCAAGCCCTGAACCGTCCTCGGCTGGCCACCAGCAGCAAGCATGCCTGCAAGGCCACACAAGCCAAGAAGCAAGAATCAGTCGAAACGCCCCGGGCCCCGGCGTCCTAAACCCTGAACCCTAAACCCTGATTTCAAACCCTAAACCCTAAACCCTGATTTTGAACCCTAAACCCTGAACCCTAAACCCTGATTTCAAGCCCTATACCCTGAACCCTAAACCCGGATTTTAACCCGTCCTAAAGGGATCTAGGGCTCCGGCTTCAGGACTTCGCGGGTTTGTATTTTTTGTGCTCTAGACCGAAGGTGCAGTGTCTTCTTGGGGACGCCTCAACCATAAATGCAAACTTCCGCTCCGCCCGCACACAATTAATGCAATTTGGGGTTCAGGGTTTAGGGTTTAGGCTTGCATAATGGAACCCAGAAAAACCCCTTTCCTCTTTACGACAAGGCATCTCAAACCCTCCAGAGCCCTCAAACTTGAATAATCTGGGGGCAGGATCCTCAAGCAAGATCCTGCTCCCAAACGAGGACAACCGAGGTCCGCAAAAAGGAGTCCAAAAAAGGCAGGACTTCTTAGCAAAACGATTGTGAACCATAACACTCCCTCAACCCACTGAACCCTAAACCCTAAATCCGATAAAACCCCTCTTAAGCTACTGAAACTGATGCACGACCAGCAGACAACCCTTTTCGGCTCTGAAGCTGTTCCGAAAAGCCCTTATGTCGTTGGTTGGGGCTTAATGCTGAGGAATCAGGGTTCCGGGTGTAGGGCACCAGCTGTTGCTAAACCCGAGCCTGTCCACATATTTGGATATCTTCGCTCAGGCCACATACAAGCCCCATACTTTAATGAGTCCCGAAGCCCATTCCATGACAGGTTTAGGTTTTCGTGTCTAGGTTTAGGTTTAGGGTCAGTGTTTAAGGTTCAAGGGGTTATAGGGGTTGCAGCCTACCTCAGAGCTTCCCAAACCTTCCAATATCGCATTACGTAAAGAATAGGAATAGGAGAATATATATACATACATATATATATATACAAAAAAATATACTAGTAGGACCCCTTTATGTGATTAAAGGTATCTTCCTGAGTTAAAAGGGCTTTGGGAGGTCTGGGTTTGTGACCCCTGAACCCCGAAGCTGAAGGGGCAACAGGAGGGACCCCTAGAAGGGACCCCTAATCCTAATACCCTACAGAACCCTTGTATACCCCCCTTATAGAGTCTCATAAAGCCCCTGTACAAGGGTCCCTTTTAGGGTCTCTCCTTTAGTCCCTTGAGAAGCCTTTCCCACTGCTCTCCTACTGAACTGGACCTCCGAGATGGCTGGTCGAGGATGAGATACACTCTTGGGGTTTGGGGCTAAGGCTGCAGGGTTTACGGTTTAGGGTTTAGGGTTTAGGGTTTCGGAGTGAGGCTTTCGGGTCTAGGGTTTGGGGGGAATGTCAGAAAGCTTGATGGTGTCCTTTGTGGCCATCACCTGAAACCTAACCGCAGCATCCTGAACCCGAAGCCCCAAACCCCTAAACCCTAAAACACCATAAACCCTAAACCCTAAACTTTAAACCCTAAACCCTAAACCCAAACCGAAAACCCCTGAACCCTAAACCTCCAACCCCGAAACCCAAGACCCTTAGGGGAGTCAGCTCAGGGTTTACATTCAGAATTCAGCCGGGGATTTCGTCTACTGCATGGGGTGCATGTGCAGGGCTTTGGGGTTTGGGGTTTAAGATTAGGGCTTAGGATTTGGATTTAGGGTTTAGGGTTTAGGATTTAGGGTTTAGGGTTTAAGATTTAGGGTTTAGGATGTAGGGTTTAGGATTCAAGTCAGGCAAACACACCCCGAATGTAGGGTTGAGGGTTCAGGGTGCAGGATTTAGGGTTCAGGGTTTAGGGTTCTTCTCTACCCTAAAGCCCAAACCCTAAACCCCTAAACCGTTGTTCCAAGAGCCAAGCCTTTAAGGTCCCGCGGGTCCAGCGGCCAGCATCCGCGCGCAAGTTCAAGTGGTTTGAGCAATGCTTGCCTTCCTCGACAAAGTTTAGGGGCTTAGGGTTTTTAGAGTTTGGGGTTTAGGATAAATTTTGTGGGGATTCAGGGCTTAGGAGTGTAGTGAAGTGCCCCAAGCACCAAGTACTATCGAACCCCCCCTGTAATTTTGGGGTCCCAAGAAGCCTGGGAGTCTAGCATAGAGGGACTCTGCATCTTGATGGCTTTTACTAGGGGCTTGAGCTTGAGGTAAATGGAGGTGGGTCAGCAGTCACAAGGCTGTTTGCAACACTGCTCGTAGGAAAGAGCCCCTGCATCGTTGTTCGACAGAAGGGGTGCCTGGTACATTCTACCAGGAATATAGCACTACAAGTAAGGCCGACTAGGAATATTCAAATAATATTCAAGGGATTGACGCTTTTTGATCATAGGTGCAGCTCAAGCTCAGCTGTACACGACACGAGCGGAACCGCATAGCTGACAAGAGCTGGACGGCTACATGGAGAGACGAGCCTTTAGCTTTACTGTTGCTGCGACTAAAGACTGTTGGCAATGAAGTACCAATGTAAACTCAATTCCAATCCGACGCTGATCGATACCGTCCCTCCAACCCGTACTCTCATTGTAATTAAGCGTCATCCTTG